AAGATCTCCTTCCCAGCACAGTAAACCATGTGATTGTCAGATTCAAATGGCCAATACCAGTCCATGTCAGCTCACTAGTTTCAGGGATTTGGATATTTATGTGTTCCATTTCATTTTTGACAGCTGCCAATATTCCTAGATTCATACTGAGTATATTCCCTGTTCTGATTATTTGTGCAGGCTTGCAGCTGTTTCTCTTCATTTTGAGTTGCGCCCCATCAGCAAATGAAGGTTTGAAGAGCTCTATTCCTTCCGGGTCATTACGGTCAACTTTCCTTTGAGGAGGCAGCTCTTCCCTCGGTTGTATTTTGAGTGCCTTCCACCCTGAGGGGCTCCTCTTCTGACACTATGTCTGACAGTGTTCTGGTGTGATTGATAGTGTTCCCCTATTCAATATTTGGGTGTTGACAGTGTTCCACAGCTAGTCATAAGGTTTTCTGTAGCTAAACATTCAGAAGCAGTCTGCCTCTCATTTTTCATAGCCTGTCTTTGTCTGCCAAGCTGAAACCTGTCCACCGTGGGTGGGTGTACCCTGATGGTAATTAAAATATCGGTCGTATACCTTCCAACCTCACAGCAGCATGGAAGTAGGACAAACTGACAGATGAGTGATGGTCTTACTCATAGCGACCCTGTTTGGGGTTTCTGAGGAGTGAGTGGTCTTTGTTTCAAGCCTTTACCTGGTGAGCTAGCCATCCATTGCTTATGGTACCACTCCAAGACTCCCTAAGACCCCTGATGTCTCAGCAAAAATTGAGTTATAGTTTAGATATAAGTTTGAAGGAGAGGAATTGGAGATGGAACTGTGTGGAAACATTCAGCAGACAAGTGGACAGGGAAGGCCTTAGGCCAGATGGAAGTTAGGGATAAAATTCAAAAGGAGTTGCTTAGTCATGAAAGCAAATGCAGCCTCCTTCCTACAGACTGTGGGGTGTCCCAGGCAGGCATAGGTTATTGTTGTTGTTGTTATGTGCCATCCAGTCGGTTCCGACTCATAGCGACCCTGTACAGGGTTTCCGAGGCTGTAAATCTTTATGGGAGCAGAAAGTTTCATCTTTCTCCTGTGGAGCAGCTGGTAGTTTCAAACTGCTGACCTTGTGGTTCACAGCCCGATTCGTAACCACTACGCTACCAGAGCTCATTGGCAGGCACAGGTAGTAAGTAGTTAGTTACCAACTGTAAGACTGGAGGTTTTGAGGACACCCAGAGTGCGTCAGAATAAAGATTGGGCAATATGTGTCTGAAAGGTGACAGACAGCCTGGAATAGCCTCTACATCAGTTCTACTCTGCACACATGAGGTTGCCATGTGCCTCTTGGCAAATACTTGGTTCCTGTATGGACTGAGCAAAAGAAATTAAGCAGCAAGTTTAAGAAAACATTCATTTGGTGGCAGAACAGGAGTCAGCAAAAGACACTGTGTAGGGTCTCTGAGGAGTGGCTGGTGGGTTTGAACTGCCGACCTTGTGGTTAGCGGTCCAGTACGGTTAGCGGTCCAGGATAAAGACTTGGAGAAGGTGGATAGCCACAATGAAAGTTGAGGACAACGAAAGAGGGCTTCCAAGGGGCTTGCAGAATTACCCCGTGGCCTCTTTTCTCTCTGTTACTTTGGAGCTCTCCTAATTCTTCACATGGGAAGAGAAGAGAATTCGTAGAAAAACCTGAGGTCAGATCATAACCCCTGGCAGTTTCCTTCCTCTTCCTCAGACTCAATGACCTGTTTCAGAAGGTACATCATTGGCCCTTCAGCCTTCACAGCAAGTCACAGCAACGATCTAGTGAGACCAATTTGCAGTGACTTGGAAGGCAGCATGCAGATGTAACCCCTCACCAGTCAAAGGACAGAAAGAACCCAATAAGTAGGCAGGGCAGAAACATTCTCTACGAAATGCATCTTTAAAAAAAACAACACACAACAACCAAAAAACACTTTTTATTGTGAATTGAGTGAAGACAAGATCATCAGCTTGACATCCAATGAATCCCACAGTGTGGTTCATCTCAGTGATTCCAGTTCCTCCTGCAACCAGTCATGTGCTTCCCCATCCACACCTTATACTTCACAAATGAATAAAGCAAAAATATTTGATGCACACATGTTGTTGTTGTTGTTAAGTGCCATCGAGTCGGGTCCGACCCATAGCGACCCTGTACAGGGTTTCCGAGGGTGTCAAAAAAATATGTCTTTACAGAATGTGTCTTTGACATCGATGGCCTTTTCATGAGATATGAGTGTGGTTACATTTAAATGCTGTTGAGTCGTTTCCAACCCAAAGCAACTCTGCATAGGATTCCTGAGGCTTTTAAATTTTTGCAGGAGCAGAAAATGTCATCTTCCTCCCATGGAGCGGTTGGTGGGCTGAAACCGCTGACTTGGACTTTCTAGTCCATTGCTTATCCTACGGAAGGAAGCACCATGCTCCCTTAGAGATGAATAGATATGAATCGGCTATTTTAAAACAATCCCATTCATTTACCTAACTAAATGTTCAAAGACTTAGAATTTCCCCCCAAAATGACGTAACATGCATCAAACCTTACTTTCATGTTATGTTTTTTGTATATTTTCCAGTTTCCTGTCTGTTCAAACATAAGACATGGGAATAGAAATGGATCATTCTGAACTGATGTTTTCAGATTCATTTTCATGCTCAACACGAAGTCAAACTAATGGAGACTATGGTACTTGGTGTTCATGGCACTGGACCATGTGGTACCAGCCATTTTACCTAATTCCATGAGCTTTCTGCATCCTACTTGTTGTTGTTATGTGCCATCCAGTCGGTGCCAACTCATAGCAACCCTGTACGGGGTTTCCAAGGAGTGGCAGGTGGGTTTGAACCACCAGCCTTATGGTTAGCAGTCCAGTGCTTATCCTACAGCACTACACCAGGGCTTCTGCATCCTAGTGGCATGTTTAAAATTTATTTTAAAATTCCATTTCCAGAAATGCCTACTGTTTTGAACCATGGTTCAACCTGTGTGCATTGTAGGGGGAGAGGGAGAAAGAAGCCTGAATGAGTAACTACTCCAGCGAGTCCCCAGTGAGGGGCCATTGAAGCAATGTACGCATTAGTCATGCCCAAACCAGACAGAGTCTGTAGGGAACAGCCAAGCAATCTAGTGGGAAATCCAGCTTGGGGAATCCCTCTAGTAGGGTTTGACCCCATGAGGAGGTTAGGCCCTGCAACGTATTCCTTAAAAGGAGAGCTCCATGGCACAGAAAGGGGTATGAGCTGGGCAACCTTGTTAAAGTGACCTCGGAGTTTGTCAGCAGAGAGGGAGCGTGGTATATGGGGAAATGATGGCAAACTTTGGATGGGTCCCTTGTGTGAATTGAATGTGGAGTTCCAGAGAAAGAACTTAGTAACAGTCTTTGTTACTTGGTAACTAAGAAGTAACAAAGGATGTTACTTTGTGACTAAGAAGTAACAAAGTAACAAAGAATTTTTAGAACAATGCACCAAAAAATCAGGCCAGTCTCTTGAGACTGTTGTTGGATGCCTGGAGCCGGGTCCTACTCACAGACAGCCTCTGTGACAAAGTAGAACTGCGGCATCAGGCGACCTTGGCCAGGGTCTTCTCCGAAGTGGAACACCTGATCTGTCTTCTGAGGAGTTGCTGTGTGGGGTCTTCAGAATCAAGAATCACTGGAAACCCCTTGATGCTTAGTGGGGTACTTAGCTCCTGTTTAAGGTTGTTGTTGTGAAGTGCCATTGAGTCGGTTCCAACACATAGCGACCCTGCATAGGGTTTCCAAGGAGTGGCTGATGAGCTTGAAGCACCGAATTTGCAGTTCAAATGGCCTTGCAGTCTGGCGCATTAACCCACAGCGCCACATCAGGACTCCCCTGTTAAGGTAGATGGGAGCATTTGGGAACTGGTAATGGTGGTGATTAAGCAACCTGACAAACGTAATTAAGGTCCCTGACCTGAAAATGACCTGTCCTGTTTTGTTGGGTATGTGTCCTCAGGCTGTTACAACTCCTAGGGAGTTACAACCCTGCTAGACAGAGCAGTGCTGTGCCTGGAGCCTTCCTAGGCTGGGTGCTTAATGGCGCAAATCACCAGGTCTTTCTTCTGTGGGTCTGCTGAGTGGGGCGAAACTACCAACATTTTAGTTAGCAGCCAGGCACGGAACCATTGTGCCAGTGTGATTCCTTGTGTATATCACAGTTAAAAGCTGGGGGGTGGGAGGGTGAGGGGAGGGTGGTGGAAATACTCAAAGAGCTAAGGTTTCTGAAATGGGATGGGATAAACTGTGTCTGAGGACGTGTCCATTGTGAGGCCCTGGCTGAAGGACATAAGGGATCAGTTGTAAGCTGATGGGATCTGACTCTTGTGGGGATTTCTCTCCTCCACTTCCACCTCGGCCGGAGCCCCCAGCAGACTGTTTTAATTGACATGGACCCATTGCAGGTGTCCCCCTGAAGCCCAGGAAAGAGTTACGATTCACAGAGCTGCCTTCCGGAGAGCTGGAGATCAAGTGGTCTTCGAAATTCAATGTTTCCATTGAGCCTGTGATCTACGTGGTACAGAGACGGTGGAATTACGGTATCCATCCAAGTGAAGACGGTGCTACCCACTGGCTGACCGTGGCTCAGGTTAGTGCGTGACCTGCTTGTTTGTTGTTCCTGTTTGAGTAGCTGCAGAGTACGTGGAAATTACCCTGCTATGCCTGAATCAGAAGCCTTTAACGACCCGAAACCAAACCACCACGTGTGCTGTTGAGTTTACAGTGACTCACAGCGAGCCCGGGTGTGTCAGAATAGGATGGCACGCCATCCATCGTTTTCATACCTGTGGCCTTCCAAAAGCAGAACACCTGGGCTTTCTTCAGCCACTGGGTAGGTCTGAACCACTAACTTTCCTGGGTAGTACCCTAGCGCTCAGCCATTTACGCCACCAAGAAACTCCAGTTATCCCAGATGTAGCTAATGACATGTGGAAATAATACCGCACCGGAAGGATGGAATTAGTTACACAGGCAGATCCCAGTAGACCAAAAAACTTGGCAGTGGGTTTCCTTGCTGCAAATCCATGCGCAAAGGGAGATAACTTCTTAATCTGCCTGCTCATGTGTGTTTTCTCCAAGAACGACATTTCCTGCAGATAAACTCAAAACCGACAAGAGGAAGGGACATGGAAACTTTGGTAGGAATCATGTAACTTAATATTCGATCGTTTCAATGCTCTCTCTTTATTTCTTCTGGATTCAAGCCTTTAAGAAACATAAGGACCTAAGGGGCAGGGAGTAAGATTCATATCACAGAACTACTTAGGGGTAAGGAGCTGGCAGCTCATAAATCTTCATTTTCCTTGAACTTCATTCACCTCTAATGTACGACCTGCATGTTGGCACTGCCCGCTTCCCCTGAGTCCTACTTCCTCCTCTGCTGTCTCTTGTACAATAAAACCAAAATGTTTTCTTTCTTCCTAAGAGCTGTTAAATGGATTGCCAGGTACAAGAAAATACATAGCTGTAGAAAAGAAGGGAAAAAAAGAATTAATTCTGAATGCGGTCCACCTTATGTTTCTCAGTAACCAAAATGCCGCGCCGTAGTGAGGTAGGTAGGGAAACATGCTCACGGTACGGTGGTCTGTTTGTAAATGCAGACTGGATTTCTGTGCCCAAGTGGTTAGAAAAGGCATTTGGTTCTTTTCCCAATAAGGACATGCCAGAGGACATTAACACTAACAAATTTTAAAGATTCCCCCAAATGAATAAATGATACATTTGATATAAGAGAAATGTCTTTAATTAGAAAAATCATGGCACAATAAATGCACTGTCAAGAAAATGTCATCCCATTCTCTAGTTACTTTGTAACAAATCATCTTCTTGAATCCAACACTAAGCCGCCCAGATAATGGTGAAAACACACTGCCATTTGTTTGATAAGCTTTCTTCAATAGTGGCCATTTCATTTGTAAATTCTCAAAATTACTGAAAAGTTTGTGAAATTAACTGATAATAAGATCAGCTCATTTCCCTCTCTCCTCTCTGTGTTTTTGCGTTCGGTCATTATTTTTATTATTTTCTCCAATTAACACTTCAAGTAGAACTTCCTTTCTTTGTTAATCCCTTGGGTAGCATGCTGACTTTAGCCTTTAAAATTCACAGCTAAATCTCCAAACAAGGAAGCCAGTGTGGTTTTGTCTCCAATTCCTCCATCTCAGGCCAAAAACACCATTTAAATGCTCTGGTTCTTCCTGTGATCTCTGGACTGGGTACCTGCTTTTAGACACTGAAATAAATATGACACGGCTTAGCAAATCACTAGAAACTGAAGTTGGGGAGAGTTTGAACTTGATTCTATTCCAGCAGCTGCGTTCTCTTTAAGAGCCACTAGGCATAGCTGACACTCTGGACTGCTGGTATTTACTCCTTGAAATTCAAGGCAAAGATTTTGAGATCTAGCAATGAAAACAAAGCATAGAATATTCTTGAAAGTAAAGATAGTTCCCCTTAGGTTGTTGAAGAAGGGAACTATGAAGACTGTTAAAGTTATCTGGTAATTTGGGACTGTAAGAATGGAGACAGAAAAACCCAGTGCTGGTATGCCAATGTAGGATAAGCACTAGACTGTGAACCACAAGGTTGGTGGTTCAAATCCATCAGCTACTCCTTGGGAATCTTATACAGTGTCGCTACGAGTTGAAACCAAGTTGATGGCAATTAACAACAGCAACATCTTCAATGTGTAGCTTTTTGCTTTTGACAAGTCTTTCACCAAGAATAGATGAACAGATCTCCCCCGGAGGACCAGAACTGGGTCCACGTAGCTGTTATGTAACTTACTCAATGGGGCGGGGGGAGTGATTGAGTCTTAATTTACATGATCACTAGACAGACAGTGCTAGCTTGCCTTCAAGTATATGGATTTTCATATGTATTTTCATAATTTTATCTAATGCAAGTTCTAGACATATGCTCTTTCTTGTCTATGTTGTTGTTATGTGCCGTAGAGTCGGTTCCGACTCACAGCGACCCTGTATAGGGTTTCTGAGGAGCATCTGGTGAGCTTGAACTGCTGACCTTGCAGTTCAAATGGCTTTGCAGTCTGGCGCATTAACCCACAGCGCTACACCAGGACTATATATATGTGTGTGTGTGTTGTTGTTATGTGCCGTAGAGTTGGTTCCGACTCACAGCAACCCTTACAGGGTTTCTGAGGCTATACGGGAGCAGAAAGCCTCATCTTTCTCCCACGGAACAGCTGGTAGTTTCGAACTGCTGACTGTGAGATTAACAGCCCGATTCGTAACCACTATGCTACCAGAGCTCCTTTTTATCTCAAAGTCACTTTGAACTGCAAGGTCAGAGGTTCAAACTCACCAGCTGCTCTTCGGAAACCCTACACAAGGTTGCTGTGAGTCAGAACTGACTCTACGACACTTAACAACAACAACAATGTATTGATTAGATTTCTTGTTAGATCAGCTCACTTGTCCTGCTGTGACACAGTAGGATAAGCACTGGACTGCTAACCACAAGGGCTGTAGTTCAAAGCCACCAGCCACAATTCCAAAACCCTATTGCAGGGTTGCTGTGAGTCACATTTGACTCAAGGGCCTTTACAGGGCGACATATGTTACTGTTAAGTGCAATTGAGTCAATTTCGACTCAGAGACTCTGTACAGGGTTTCCAAGAAATGCCTGGTGAGTTTGAACTGCCGACCTTTTGGTTAGCAGTCCAGCATCACACAAGGACACACTAAAGAATATTTAGGTGAATAGATACAGATAGATCGATTCCCTCAGGAGCCCCTGGGACGATTAAACATTTAATACTCTTGGATACTAACTGCAACAATTGGAGGTTTGAGTTCAGCCAGAGATGCGGAAGAGAAGCCTGGTGATCTTCTGAGAAATCAACCATTGAAAATGCTGTGGATTGCAGGTCTGACACATGGGGCCACCGTTTGTAGGAACTGACAGTCTAGTAACTGGTTGGTTTGCTTCTGAATTCCTTATTACAAATCAAATTTCATGAATGCTGTATGTAATTACTAGGTATAAAAATTCACCCATGTGCTTCAGAGTTTGACTTCCAGGGGTATTTTCCTCTAGGATGAAAGTTGTTACTGCACGCCTTCTTTTCCAACAGCCACGTTGATTACTGACAACACTTTTCATTGCCGGCACGATTAGACACACTTTTCCAGAAGGGCAGACGGAGATCAATGCTGGGGTGGGTTGGCCATGAGTTAGCACATGCTTTGACACAGAATCAATATGCATATCTGTGCCATTTCTTGCAGACCACAGATGAGCGAGTTCAACTGGCCGACATCAGACCCAGCCGGTGGTACCAGTTCCGAGTGGCAGCTGTCAACGTGCATGGGACCCGAGGTTTCACCGCTCCCAGCAAGCACTTCCGTTCTTCCAAAGGTCAGAGTCCCTGCCTTCCGCTCCTGCAAATCTTTAGTCTCCTTCCCCCTGCCCAGGCAAGTACTTCCTCTTCCTTAAAAGTTCTTCTTCCTCCCCATCAGCAAGCACTTGCACTTCTCCTAAGGTTTCCTCTCCCTCCCCTGCTCAGGAAAGTGCTTCCAGTTTATCAAAGGTCACTCTTCCACCCCACCTGCAAGCCCTTCCACTCCTTCAAGTCAGAACCTTCCCTCCCTGCTGCTGCTGCAAGTACAACTGCCCCTCCAAAAGGTTACTGTCCTTCCCCAGCCCTTGGGAAGTACTTTCGCCCTCTAATTAATGGTCACTCCTCAGCCCTGCCTCTCCTTCTAAGTGTCACCATAGCTCCTCCAAAGGTTGAGTCTCCTTCCCCTGCCCAGGCAAGCAAACACTTCTGGTCCGCAGAAGGTCAGTCTTACTACGCACATGCAAGCACTTCTGGTCCACCCATGGCAGCCTCCCTCCTCATTTCCTGAACCCACATGGAATAATGCCTGTTCCTCCTCAGCAAATCCATGTTTATGGTTGACCAATATGTGGCTTTGCTGTTGTAGCCCACGGGGCCCACAGATGTGTAAAGTGACCGTGTGAATTGATGGTCACTGGTATCCGTACACCTTTTATCTTCCAGACAGCTCAGAAGAGAGCAAAGTGGAATTTCCCATTAACAAAGCTTGTTGAATCCTTTCTCGAGATAATTGTGCTTCAAAAGCCACTTGGTTTATTTTAGGGGAAAAGGGTTTCGTGTTAGGTACTTCAGACCGTGTGCCTCTAGTGGACACATGTGTTCAGTGTGTTGCCCATGAGGCAGCCGCACGGGTCGCTTTGTCCCACACGGGTCATCCTCACGATGCGCTACTGCATGCTCTGCTCTGCTAGTCCCAGACCCAGCTCACGCCACCCCGAAGTGGACGCTGGTCTCGGGAGGCAGATGCTAAGGACCTGTCAGAGCAGGACTGTATCCCGCTTCGTGGAGGGATGGAGCATGTGGCTTGCAGAGCTCCTCTCTTGCTCCATCATCTGCATTTGGGCACAGCTGCTTGGTGTGGGGCTCTGGGAGCTGTCTAGGTGGCATTGTGTCCAGGGCAGTTGTGAGGCCATACTGCCCCAGCCCGCCCATTTGCAGGTGAGCACCTTCAGGTCTAGAATTAGAGTCCCACTGCCCAGGTTTAGTTCACAAAGGCATTTGTTCCTTCATGTACTCAACAAATAACTTGGTGAGCACATGCTATGTAGTGGGCAAGTGAAGAAAAGGCCGACAATATCTGCTCTGTGGAATCCACAAATAGATACACACACATACGTGGAAAAACAGAACGAAAGATCATGCAATGTTTGCACAAACGTTTTGAACAGTCCTAGGGTGGTGCCTGAAGAGAAACACTTTACCTCAAGATTGATTTGAACCCCAAGGCCAGTGGTTCAAGCTCACCAGCTGCTCCTCGGAAACTTTATACAGGGTTGCTGTAAGTCAAAACAGACTTGAGAGCACTTAACGACAACATGCACATGCTTAGACACAGAAAAGACTCGACACGGTACTTAACAACGTTAACAACAATAAGGGAAAATAGAAAACTGGTAGACAGGCAGTGGTAGGAGAAGGATACATGGGAAGGGAGGCGGGCACTAAAGGTGTGCTGAGAAAGAGATATCTGTGTGACAGGCTGAAGGCACCCACCTGCTGCCATCGCAGGGAAGAGCATTCCAGGCTCAGAAAATGGCAGCTCCTGAGGGCCATTGGCAAAAGCAAGCAGTCGTATTTGTACAACAGCAGAGAGTGTGTGCTTCAAAAGTCCTTAGCTGGTGCAAATAGGTAAGGGGCTCAGATGCCAATGGAGAAGTTGGTGGTGGTTGTCCACCCAGAGGTGCTTTGGAAGAAAGGCCTGGTGGTCGACTTCTGAAAAGTCAGAAAACCTGGTGGCCACAGTTCTAGTCTGACACACACACGGGGCACCATGAGTGGAATCTACTTACAAAAAATCATCCACTGAGAACCCTGTGGGCACAGTTCTACTTTGACACACACGGGCTACCATAAGTGGGATCTACATATGAAAAATCATCCATTGAGAACCCTGTGGGGCACAGTTCTACTCTGATACACATGGGGCACCATGAGTGGGATCTACTTATGAAAAATGATCCACTGAGAACCCTGTGGGCACAGTTCTACTCTGACACACACGGGGGCATCATGAGTGGAATCTACTTATGAAAAATCATCCATTGAGAACCCTGTGGGGCACAGTTCTACTCTGATACACACGGGGCACCATGAGTGGAATCTACTTAAGAAAAATCATCCACTGAGAACCCTGTGGGCACAGTTCTACTCTGACACACATGGGCCACCATAAGTGGGATCTACATATGAAGAATCATCTATTGAGAACCCTGTGGGGCACAGTTCTACTCTGATACACATGGGGCACCATGTGTGGGATCTACTTATGAAAAATAATCCACTGAGAACCCTGTGGAGTTCTACACCATGAGTTGGAACCACTCAAGGACAACTGTTTCAATGATTTGGGTTGAGTGGGGAAGGGGGAGGAATAGATGAGGCATGGAAGTCCAAGAGAAAGGAGTCTGGGGGCTTCCACAGCTGTTGTGAAAAGTGGGCTTTTACTCTGAGTTAGAGGGAGGAGCCACTTCGATATGTTGACAAAGAACGGGCCTGAAGTTTTTAGACTGGGATTCTGAATGCCAGGTAGGGGTGAATACAGGATTCCAGGTGGAAGATTCTGGCAAGCTGGAGAAAGACAGAAAGTCTTCTGAAGAAATTGCTGGTGGTTTGCAGAAATGGTAGGTGTCAGTCCTGGCATGGCACATGGGTTAATGCGCTGGACTGCTGAGTCGGTTTGACTCGACAGTTCAAGCTCACCAGCTGCTTCTTGAAAACCCTGTGCATGGTTGATATGGGCTGGAACCAACTCAATGGCGCTTAACAACAGTAATAACTGAGCTGTTGAAAGAATGGCATCATTGTCAGCAAGGATCCTGAAGAACATACTGGGGAATACCTACTGTGTTTGTTGGTTTTCTTCACATTACAGACATTTCAGAAAGCGTGTGACCCTTTACATTCCAAAGAGGCTGATAAGGAGTTGGGCTCTGTTTTGGAGTCCTGGTGTGTGTGGCCTGGTGGGTTAATGCGCTGGACTGCAGAGTCACTTTGAACCGCAAGGCCAGTGGCTCAAGCTCACCAGCTGCTCCTCAGAATCCCTATACAGGGTTGTTGTGGGTCGGAATCAACTTGACGGCACTTAACAACGACAGCATGGAGTTAAATGGAGCCCCCACCAAACACAGGCTATAAATCCTAAGCCTCTGTATCTGTGCATGAGTTCTGCAGTGTGACACTGTAGGATAAGCACTGAACTGCTAACTACAAGGTTCAAACCCACCAGCTACTCCCTGGAAACCCTATGCAGGCTCACTGTGACTCAGAACCGACTCGATGGCACTTCACCATCAGGAACACAGAGACCAGCAAAAAGGGAAGATTGCATCTCAGTAAGACTGCTAAGGGAGCCCAGACCACAAGCTGGAAAGGGACTAGGGTCTTCCCTGAGAGCTCACAGAACGAGAACATCTTCCCCGAAGAACCAGCGTGCTGCATCCGGACTTGTAGCCTCCAGAACGGAGACCGAAGATGTGTCTGTTGAGGGTCCCGTCTGTGACATTCTGTGACAACATCTGGATAGAACTGGCTGTTCTAAAGAGGAGACATCCTAGCCTTAAGGACACTGGTCATGTGGATACAAGTGAAATGGAGAAAAGTAGATAGTAAAAGGAGACATGAAAGACACCCAGCAAAGCTTTATTTCTAAGTTTTCAATCTGAGGCAGGAGGACGTGACTGGGGTGCTGGAATCATTGTTCAACTGTACAGTAGTGATGGCTATGCAACTTCAGAAACACCCAAGATCAGAGAGGTCTCTTAGTGGCATGTGAGTTCTAGTTCAATAACCCGCCGCCATTGAGTTGTTCCAGCCGACTCTTAGTCCACAATGAAGTGTTCTGGAATACTCCTACTTCGCAATGTTGTCCATAGCTTGTCATGAGCCACACAATCGAAAGCTTTTGCATAGTCAATAAAGCACAGGTAAACATCCTTCTGATATCCGCTGCTTTCAGCCAAGATCCATTGGACATCAAACTATTAAGAATGCCAATGGTAAAATGAGAAGAATGCTTTGTGGATTCCATGATGCACTGACTTCCTGTTTTCAGCTGATTGATGATAATTATCCATGATAATGTTGCTGTTTAGTGATACAGAAAAATTTGCATAAGCTTCATGCTTGTTGTTGTTGTTGTTGTTAAGTGCCATTGAGTTGGTTCCGACCCACAGCGACCCTATATAGGGTTTCCAAGGAGCAACCGGTGAGCTTGAACCACCGACCTTGTGGTGCAAACTGACTTTGCAGTCTTGTGTATCAACTCACAGCCACATACCAGGACTCCAAGGTTCATATTTAGTGCTCGAAGAGGATCCCTAGTGACATAGTGGGTTAAGCATTGGGCCACTAACCTCAAGGTCAGTAGTTGGAGTCCACCAGCCAATCAGCAGGAGAAAGAAGAGGCCCTCCCCTACCGTAAAGAGTTACAGCCTCGGAAACCCTACCTAGGGTCGTTGTGAGTTGGAATTGGGTCGGTGGCAGTGGGTTTTGTTTGTTTTTTCAAATGGCTCATGGGTAGAATTCTTGACTTCCCTTCAGGACACGTGGGTCCGACTCCCAGACTAGGCATTCCTTGTGCAGCTCCGTGCATCTGTGAGTGGAGGCTGCCATGCTGCTGGGGTGCTCGGTGCTACACAAGTTTCACTGGAACTTCCAGATGAAGACGGACTAAGAAAGGCTTGGCTATCAACTTCCCAAAGTAACCTGAGCAGCGGGACCCTGAGTCTTTTGTACCCAGTGCCTCTGGGTGGGTTTGAACAGCCAGACTTTGGGTTAGTAGTCCAGTGCTTAACTGTGA